TTAATGAGTTCAAAAGCGTTTAGTAATGGTGTAAAAACTAAACTTTTCTGTTTTTTTCTCCCGATTAATCATTAATTAAATTATTTAATTAATCTATGAGACACTATAACGTATATAATTAATTCATAAGAGTGCAAGTCTGTAAATGATTCTAGATAAAGATTTCTTTTCCTGAAAATATATTTTTCTCATTTTTTTGTCATAATATATTGTTAAAAATTACCACTTACTTTAATTTTTAGGATTTAATAAACCAAAAATAACTTATTTGAGAAGAATTTAATGAAAACATAATTTAATAATGAATCCATTAAACTAATTTCAATTCATACTTTTCTAATAATAAAATTTTTTTAAATTTTGTTTCTATCCAAAATAGACCTGATGTAAATGTGAAAGAGTCATAAAGTTGATTATTTAATATATTATTGATTACTAAGGAGAAAAGCAAGAAAAATCAAAATGAGACAAAATTTAATCTGAAAATGCACTCTTCAATAAATGATCTTAATAAAGTTTATATTAATTAATGTTAAGGTCTGATAAACATCTAATTTTATTAATATTAATTTATAACGAACGAAACTGGATTCGGACATTTTTAAATACAAGATACATTATAAATCCTTTTTTAATATTTAACCAGAAGAAAAAAAAATAATTTAATTAATTCGAATATGGTTTTTATTTTATAAAGTAGTTAGACAAATTTTAATAGTCAGCTGAGTATCAGCTTATATTAATTATAAGAGCGGTACAGAAATAATACTTTGGAAGTAACACATTTTACGAATGCTCTAAAAAATAACGAAATTCTAGGGTCAATCAATATTGATGTGGTTCATGTTTTAGAGCCTCCCTATAAGGTGACTCAAGTTCGAATCCCAGTTATGGCTGGTTGATATGAATTCTATTTCTGCTCGCTCCGACAACAGTGAGGACGCAAAATATCCTCGGAAGTAGACGGATCATAGGTTAGAGTCCCAGTGACGTCGGGACAACCATGGGAAGTTTTCAAGTTTCTTCTCCGCGTATCGCAAATGCGAGTTAGTTAAATCAAGATATCCTCTAGGAAGACTAGTTTGTACCAATGCTTGAACCACGAATACCCTTGTCTTCTGGGCTGGGTTCAGTATTATTACAGGGATGCACTGATAATCGTAAGATAATCGTAATTTAAACACTGATAATCGTAAGTCCAAAAATGAGTTGGCTGTTTAACTCTGGTTATAATATAATTTAAAAACAACTGAAACAAAAATTCGTTAAAGCAATGGTTTTTTCAGAGTCTTCTATTTATATCATTAAAAATCGAATTAAATAAGTAAAACTTAAAAATATAAAAGAAGTAAATAAATTGAATATTTCACGAAATTTATCTAATTTATTAATTATAAATTATTTATTACCTTATACTATTATCACAGTATGTATATATCTCAAATATCTGCGACTATAGTAGAATTGTAGAGTGAATTGTTTTTTTAAGAAAAATAATGATACTAAATAGTTAAAAAAGAAATATTTTATAAAGGAATATTAAAATTTGTAACAAGCATATTTATTTGTAAAAAATATTTCGATTGTGAAACTTGTTGAACAGATAAGTTGCAATTAAAAATCGAATGAATAATTTATTTTTCTACGGTAAAATTCTTGTTTCAAAAATTATTACATAACACGCTGTCATGCAATTCCAATTGAAAATTAAACATAGTTTTTCCAATTTGCTAAAACTTAAGAAGAAATTTTGTTTGGTAAATAACAAAAACATTCTGGTTACATCAGAATAATGTTCGTACAAGCCCGCTCTCCAACTTATTTATTTATAGATGAACTTTAGCTTCCAAGTGCTTTTTTTTTTGTACTAATCCAACAATAAGTGGAAAAACAATTTCACATTAAATCTTGTTTTATTCTGTCATTCAAGTTAATTACGTTGTTTTTTATAAACTCGAACTCGTGCTCTTTCATCAAAAATCTAAAAATTTAGTAGAGAATGATTAAAATGCAAAAAAAAAATAATAATAAATAAATAAATTAGTAAATAAATAAATTAAATAAAATGGATAATAAATAAAATAAATAAATAAATAAAATAGAATTATATATATAATATATAAATATATATATAATATAAATGAATAATTATCATATGATAAGAATCAGTCCTTATAATGGGTCTATGCCTTTAAAAAGTTTGAAAAAAAATGTTATTTTAATTNAATAAATAAATAAATACAAGAAAACACTAAGAAAGTTAAGAAAAACAATAAGTATCATTTATTGCGCTTAAGCTGCAAGTAAACAGCACTCATTAGATAAGTTCAAAATGAAGAATAAAACAAAGAAAAATTATAGACATATGAAAAAAGGGGGGGAATAATAAGTAAAGAAATAACAAACAACAGCTTAAAAAAAAAAGAATTAAATTTTATTTAAAAAACCGGAAAAAAAACGAAAAAAAAAGATATAATCCTTTCATCAGCCCACACCATTATAACCGCAAAACAGTTTGCTTTCTGATATTGTATCAATAAAGCCAAAGCAAAATATATTAATACAATAGTGTGAGGAGTACTCAGAAAATTTTTTTAATAAAAATTACAACAAATAAAATAAAACACAAAAAGTAAATATAAGTAAAAATTACATGTAAAAACAGAAAATAAAATAAAATAAAAAGAAAAAACAGTATAAAAATGGACTATAAAGCGAGTAGCGAAATCATATATATATATATATATATATAATGCTATTAAACCGTTTTATTCTTTTTAAAGATAGCGTATAATATAATAATATAACATAGAATAATAGATACATCATTTTAGAGAATAATCATTAAGAATAAGAACTGTAAATCAATAATCAGATGAGAAGAAGAAGTTAAGTAAAGTTTAGACAATTTAATAGCATTTTTTTAGATAAGTATTTTGTGTTGAAAGCATAAGAACATTATTTCTTGTTTGTAACCACAACATGTAATAATAAATTAAACAGAAAAAAATTAGTAAACGCATTGTATTATAGAATGATATTTGAGAACAAATGTAGAACAGGATGATAAACCCCAAAATAAATAAAAATGCATTTTTGAATGACTGAGGAAGGAAATCCCCCAGTTCTTCGAAATGTTATCTCGTAAAAGTGTTTTCTCCTTTTGAAGACTACGATTCAGGAGAAACAAACTTTCTGCTTTTCTCTCTTAAACTTCCGTCAACTACACTATGCAATCGATTCCACATAATATTGTTCAGCCCTTTTCTTTTCATTTTAAGAAGTAAATCTAGATTTTTTCCACATTATTTTTATTTATCATTTCTTTTCTCTTCAAGGGCATTTTATTTTCATTATTTTTAAATTGTTCTATTTGTGCCATTTTCGCTTTTTTAAGTATAATACAATTTTATAACATATTATACTTAGGAAATATTTAGTTCAGCAGAGCGATTTTCTAGATGTGTTTAGTATGTATATAATTTCATTTTCTTTACTTTTGTATTAATTCAATAGAATTTTTGTTTGGTAACTTTCAAATTTGATCCTCCCATATGAATTAATATTTATGTCGTAAGGTTTGAATTTGAATATTTTCAAAACTTGTTTAGTACTTTTTACTCTTTATTTTCAGCAGTTTGAAATAAAACCTTTTGTTTTCTTATTATAAATTCTTGAAAATAATATGAAGTTTTGTTTAGTTTTAAAAAATTGCTTTAATAAAAATATATTGAATCAGAGAAATGCTTTATCAATATGCAGAAAACAATACGTTTAAAGTTGAAATGATTTATTTTTAAAAGATTTTATGTTGTTGTTTACGTTTATACTATTTCTTTAATATAGTTACTTTCATAATGTATCAACTGTGTCCTTTTAAATGTTGTTGATAAAAAAAAGTTCTGGTCAACTCTCTTAAATCTATTCTCCATTAGCTAGATATTGACTCTTTACTATAAGCAATCCTAATGAACTTTATTGTTTAAATAAAATATTTCTTATATATGTATTATTAATATATACTTTTCAGTATCTTAGTAAAATCAGTACTTTTCAGTAATTAGTAAAATTCCGTTTTTTTTTTTTTTTTTTTTTTTTTTTTTTTTTTTTTTTTTTTTTTTTTGCTGCTTAATCCTTTTTCACTTAACTTTTTGTTCTTGATTACAAAACAACCATTTTTTTCTTCCTCTTTTCCCTTTCATAATCCAAGTTCTTAAGTTTGAAACACTTTTAAATTTTGAAAGATTTAAAGCTTATCGTCTCTGAATTTAATAGAACAGAAATACTTAATAATTATAATTCAACATGCATAATTAACATTTAAGACATCTATGTATAATTCAATTTCCATTTTACTGTAATGTAAACGAAAATCAAAACTAAATTATAGTTCTGATATTCATCAATTAATTAAGCCTCAATAGACTAAATTACTTTCAGTATATTTTCCTATTAAACTGGAGAAAAAAAGTTTCTAATAATTTATACATTAATTTGACATTTAGAAAATTTTATGTAAAAATGATTTATATTTTGTAAATTCTTTAGATCCGTTCCTTTTTTATATTTATTTTTTTAAATTAATTTTTGATTCTAAATTAATAATTTTGGAAGTCAGAATTTGGTTAAAACAATCATAAATAAATTTTTTGTTCTTACTTTATAAATAATTATTGAAATAATTTTCTTCTATTTAATATGCACAATAAATTCAAATGTAAATTTTATACGCATTTGAGTTAACAGTCTCATACTGTTATAAGATTTTCATTAAAACGAAAAAGAAAAAAAAAATCAATGTGCAAAAAGTTTAAAAATCAATTTTTTATTCCAAAAAACTTTCATTCCCTTGTACTATTATAGGAAGGTTTCATTTCAATTTAGAAGTAGAATAAGAATCTAAACTATTAAAACAGTTGAACTAATCGATCGCAATAAACTTTTTATTCCGCCATAACCCACTTTTGAATAGCTTAACAAACTGTAATACTTCCACCTACCTGTGAACAATGGAAGAAAAGATCCAGAGTTTCAAAACGTCGAAGTGGCAACGTTTGGGAAGAACATCCTAGTTTGTCAAAAGAAACGACCGATCTTCTCCAGTTATCTTTGAACCCCTGGATGGTTGTTTTTTCCTTTACAATACAAGATTCGCAGTGGAAACTAATCTACAGAAAACTATCTGATGGTCGCAAAAGTTCTCTTCAAGTACAGGATGAAGTTTTAAGAGTGAAGAACAAAAAATAAAACAACAATAATCGAAGATCTTTGGACGCAAGCAGATGTATGTTTTTGTGAACTTTGTACTAGCGACTGGGGAGAACCCGAGTAAACCTCGGCTCAAGAGTTAGTCGCTTCGGCGCATGCGCAGTCCACCATCACGCTCTTTAATGACGGTGTAAGGTATCGATCTGCGGGGGTCGCAAAGGGATGGGACGAGTCGACTACGGAGCGGGTTAGAAGCGAAGTAGTTGTAGCTTTGTAGAAAGTAAACTTTTGGAGCAGTTTCATCGGAGCGTATTCCAACTTCGTGGGTGGAGGGGGTGGGGGGAGAGAGGGGGGAGATGAATTTACCGATCCCCACGTGTTGTGCCTACTCCAGAAGCGTTCAGGTTGAAAAGGGAATAAAAAAATATCGTGTGGGGAGAGGGGTAATATATTGAAAAGGGTGTTGATAGTTTTTTAAAGATTAATTGAGAATTCTATGAATAGAATGATTTAATTCTATTTGACGAATTAATTATTTAGTTTTAGTTAATTACAACCAGAGGAGGTTTGAATGCGGAGAGAAAATTAAGAAACTTTTGACAACTGTTGCATCGAAGTCTAATGACACTAAACTAGACTTTTTTGAAATTCATTGTTTAATGTTTACGATATTATATATTTCTAAGAAGGAATTTATTCAAAATATGAGGAAAGTGATGTTGTTTTATTATAAACACTTAGGAAACAACAAGTAAAATAAATCTACCGAAATTTGTATCGAACTTATAACATACACTTAATAAAATAACTTTGTTTTATAATGCACACTTTTCATAAATTAAAAAAAAAAGCTTTAATATTTTGTTCATTTTATTTTGAAAAGTTTAAAAACAATCAATAATTTTTTGAAAGATAATGAGGCTGACCTAAATTGTGTTACTTATTTTACTTCTTTTAATAGTTTCAATCTAGTTTTTATTTTATTTAAATAATTGAATCCATAACTAATTTCAGTTCTTTATAGCAAGAAAACTTTATTTAGCTAAATACAAAGTCTAAATAAGTTTAAAACATATGATGCTTCATTAACTAATTTCCATTATTTATGATTGGTAACTTTTTAAATTTTAAAAGTATATTTTAAATTTATTTTTTAGAAGCTAAGCTAAATCTAAGGCCTAATAATTAACTTGAAAGTATATTTTATTTTCTGATAAAAAAGCACACATTTATAAATAAAAAAAGATTTTAAAATTTGTTTTAAAGGCTTACTTGCTTAAAATGAATAAATATTTTAGATGGCATAGTTTATTTATTGATAAGAAATACGATTTTTTCATTTTTTGTGTTGTGGTACTTTACAACAATAACTATGTGCGTTCAAAGAAAATCAAATAAGTTAGTATTTAAGCAAAATTAGTAAGCGTTTAAATATTATAATTGATTGAATTACTATTAACTTATTATTGTGTTTAAATTCGAGAAAATTTAGATTGTTAAATTTTAACTTTGTAGGAAAGTTTGCTACAAATTCAGTAATATCACACATTATTTTGTTTGTTTTCAGTTGCATGAGATTTTTTAACTGATCTTAGATATTTTCATATAGCTGATTTCCAATTTGTAATCGGTTTCTCCACCCAAGATGCAGTTTTTTTTTCTCCCTAAATAGCAATTTTAGTCTATCTCTTTTTTTTGTTTGTTTTCTGCTAAAAATTTTACATGTAACAGGTGTTTGCATAAATATTGCAACAAAGGTCGAGTGGCATTAGGGCACCCCACGCCCGAAAAAGTCGTAATATGCCACTAGGAGTGCTTCCCTGCAATAAACTGATTCTTCGTGTGCTCTTGAACAGATCATAATAGAGAAACACCTCAAACCTTTTACGTGATATTTCCGGGCATAGATTTCTAATCAATCAAACTCTTGATGATGTGCTGTAACTGTCTTAGAAGTTTGTTGTAATTTTTACGCAACCTCCTCTTATATATAAAGCTTTTAAACTTATTCATTTTCACCAAAAATAGATTGAGAATGTAACTTAAAAAAATCCGTAACTTTAGGAGCATCTTCATAACCGAGGAAGTATATTTGTGCAAATTGCATTTGTATTATATATTCGTATTGCATTAGTACAATGTTTGCACAAATGCAATCAAAAATTTGTTCCCCAGAGTAATTAGCAAAAAAGTTTCGTTAAATGGTGTATGTTTAATTATTTCACATGCTACCATTGGAATTTTTGAAAGTCAATTTAAATGTTTTGATGAATGCTATTTATAATTTATACACAATTTCTATCAACAGTCAATTAGAAATGAAATTAAAACTGGAGTTTCATTTTAATTTTTGCAATAAAATATGGTAAGCGAAAGAATCGCTTCGCAATCATTGTTGCTTCTTGGCAGAATACAATTTTTCCACTAAAGTTAAAATTATTCACTTAATTAGTTAAAATTAAGTAATTAGTTAAAATTATTAAGTTAAAATTATTTATTATTCATGTAGTAAATGAAATTCTATTTGCTCACGTTTATACCTCTACTTCCCATGTCGAAATATTATTATAAGATATTAGTATTATAAATATTTAGATCTATTGGTAAGCAGAAGTAATTTTTCCAAGTAATCATTTTTGAAAATAGCAATTATATTGTTATAACAATACTAGGAGGCTAAGCCCCCTGTTCGCTGCCGCTCACCAACCCCGATTATTGCTTTGCAATATTGCTTCGCAATAATTGTCTTTTCTTGGCAGAAAACAATTTTTTCTATTAAAGTTAAAGTTATTCACCTAACATATATGTACTGAAAGGAATTCTGTTACTCTACTTCCCACGTCTATATATTACTCTCAAATATTACTTTACCCAAATATTAGATCTCTTGGTGAACGGAAGTGATTTTTCGAAGTAATCATTTTTTTAAATAGCATTTATATTCTTATAGCATTGTATTGTTCAAACAAATTTGATGAGCTCACAACCATAATTTAATACCCTCGCTATTAGTAGCAGTACTGGAAAATAAGTTTAAATTAGGGATACAAAAATATTTAAAGAAAAACAATACATTTACGACTATTGTTAATTTTGTGCTGATGACAACCAAAACAATATGGAAATGAATGAGGGAAAACTGGATCCTACCACGTGATTTTCCGACCAATTAAAATGCACCGACAGCAATAGAAAACAGAGTCAGCCTTCTATGATTTTATGTTATATAAAGATATAGTTATAACAATATATTGTGCAAACAAATTTGTTGAGTTCGCAACCGTAATTTAAAATTTTCGCTTACAAAATGGGCGAATATATTAAATATTATTTTTGCATGCATCTCATTGTTCATGAAGCTGATCATTAAGTTATAAATCATTTAACAAATCTCTTTAATTGTAACTTATTACAGTATATTAACGTTACTTGCACAACAATAATAATTGTAAAATGGTTAATAAGATTTGACGACCTTTCTAACTAGTTTTATCTTAAAATTTAGTACAGAATTACAATATAATAATGATAAAAAATACAACTATTCTCTTATTTTCAACCTCTTGAATTAAAAGCGCAATTGGGTATACTATAGCCTACGTTACAGGTTGTGTTATTCCTACTAAATTTAACCCATGAACGGCATTTTCTGCGAGCCTAACAGAGTCANTATATATATATATATATATATATATATATATATATATATATATATATATATATATATATATATATATATATATATATATATATATATATATATATATATATATATATATATATATATATATATATATATATATATATATATATATATATATATATATATATATATATATATATATATATATATATATATATATATATATATATATATATATATATATATATATATATATATATATATATATATATATATATATATATATATATATATATATATATATATATATATATATATATATATATATATATATATATATATATATATATATATATATATATATATATATATATATATATATATATATATATATATATATATATATATATATATATATATATATATATATATATATATATATATATATATATATATATATATATATATATATATATATATATATATATATATATATATATATATATATATATATATATATATATATATATATATATATATATATATATATATATATATATATATATATATATATATATATATATATATATATATATATATATATATATATATATATATATATATATATATATATATATATATATATATATATATATATATATATATATATATATATATATATATATATATATATATATATATATATATATATATATATATATATATATATATATATATATATATATATATATATATATATATATATATATATATATATATATATATATATATATATATATATATATATATATATGTATATATATTTATATATATAATACTTTTTTCTTTTCTTTATTTATACATAAAAGAAGTTAAATAACTTATTTGACGTTCTTCTAAGAATAGTTCGTATTTTTGTTTAATGAGACGCTTGTTATAAGGAGTTCATATTCCATTGAATGGAATAGTATTGACGTAACTTATCGTATTAATGTATATAAATATAGTATTATCTAACTACAGAACTCTACAAGAAAGAAGTTAAATATTTAACAATAACTGAAAGCCTCTACATAATGCCTCTCTTTTTTCTAACGTTATTAAGATATCGAAGACTATTATTTTGATACTAAAATCAATAACTGCCCTAAATTAATATCTGTTCCATTTCTCGACGTTCCAATTAAGATATTGCGTTTCTAAGATAGTGACAATTAAATATAAGACTTTCAGAAGAGTGTATGATAATGTGTTTCATTTTATTTGCAAAAATAAAATGAAGGCATTATCCAATTTATTTCATTTTCTTGTTATTTGGTTTTAAGCTTCATACATTTAAATTAATGATGCATTATCTTATTGCATTAATAATCTGTAGCATTATCTTATTACTTACTGAAATGCAAAAATGTACACAATTAAATGATTGCCGACTTCGAGCGATATACAATTGCTCGAAAATTGCAACCTCCGTCACCAATAATTGGTATGGCAGTATGCGTCACCATAACACCTAACTAATTATTCAAAGCTACTTAAACTATCACTTAAGACTACCTAACAACATGAATCCA